TTGTTCAATTCCTTCACCTGTTTGGTTGTGTTCTCCTGTATTTCTTTAAGGGAATTATTTATGTCCTTCTTAAAGTCCTCTATCATCATCATGAGATAGGATCTAAGATCAGAATCTTGCTTTTCAGACGTTTTGGAGTATCCAGGGCTTGCTGTGGTAGGAGAACTGGGTTCTGATGATGCCAAGTAGCATTGGTTTCTGTTGCTTATGTTCTTGCGTTCACCTCTCACCATCCGGTTATCTCTGGTGTTAGCTGGCTTTGCCTTCTCTGACTAGAGCCTGTGAACCTGTGAGCCTGGGTGTTTCAACACTCCTGGGAGTCAAGCTGTCTCTGGGTGTGATTAGGGTGTGGAGGGCTGTAGCACAGGGGTTGCTCCTGGGCACAAATGTAAACCGGAAGCGTTCAGATACAAACCAGAAGCTTTTCAAATACAAAACACAGGCCTAATTTTAAAATTATGAACTTATGTATGTCTAATGTCTCATTTGTAAGTTAGTTTTGATTAATTTGTTTCATTTTGCCTCTTGTATACCGTTTGATTTCAGTTGCTATCAGATGATGTGGATTTTACCTTATGCGTACTGGATATTTATAAAGGTTCTCAGTCTGTGTTCTGGTATATCATTAAGTTACTTGAAAGTAGTTTAATACTTTTGATTCATCATGTCTGGAACAGTGATTAGTGTACTACTGATTATTTGTTATGGTCTAGACCAGTGGTTCTGAATCTTCCTAATTCTGTGACCCTTTAAAGCAATTTCTCATGTCATGATGACCCCTCCTCCCAACAATATAATTATTTTTTGTTGCTCTTTCATAACTATAATTTTTCTACTATTGTGAATCATAATGTAAATATCTGTGTTTTTTGTGAAAGGGTCATTTGACTCCCAAAGTGGTTGCCCCACACAGGTTGAGAACCACTGATGGAGGGCAAAGCCTTCCTGATTATTCTATCTGGCTGTGTGAGCATCCAGCCAATAAGCAGATACCAAACCCTGTCTCCACCAATCTCTGTGGACCATTCCCTTGACAACCTTGCATAGTTTCTTCTGTTCTTGTACTCATCATCTGTACCTGGCACACACCCGGTTCTCACCCGTCTGATACTCTGGCCTATGAACTGTAGCCACGCTCTTTCTTCAGACTCTTGACAGTTCCTCCTCAGCTCAGGGAGGCTTCTGGGGCCCACCTTACTTCCTCTTTCCTGAGCTGTGTCTGGAGGGTTTGCACTATAGTCAGCTGGGAGCCTTGTTTCTTACAACACAGATCGCACGCTGCCTCTGTCTGATGTCTGATATCTTGAAAATCATTGGTTCAGGATGGAGGATGGCCTCTGTGAGGGGGATGGGGCAGCATTTGGGATGTAAATAAATGAATAAATAAATAAGAAAATCATTGGTTCATACGATTTGCCTCCTGTTTTTATCCTATTTGTTTCATGCGTGCTCAGATAAGAGGGTGAATCCAGTCAGTCTCTCTCTCTCTATCTCTCTATCTCTCTCTCTCTCTCTCTCTCTCTCTCTCTCTCTCTCTCTCTCTCTCTCTGTTGGTCCTGTCTGTGGGAGGACAGTGGTGATCCAGCAGATAAAGCCTGTGCTATTTTCCCATGGTATCTCTTCAGACTCTGCTAGTTTACAGAGGTAGTGCAGCACTCTGCTCTTCCCCGGGGCCATCTGAATGCACAAAGCTTCAGTCCTGTTCTACTTCACCAGGATGCTATCACTAGAGATTTCTGGAAGACTACCAAAGAGCAGCATAGCTTTAAGGCATGTAGTTTGATTAAACAGGGAAAAGTAAATTTTACCCCATTATACCTTATAAGGGGCTATTTACATGTCGTCTCATAAATTTACTTATGTACCTTTTATATTTTTTAGTAGTGCTTGACCCATACAAATACAAAATCTTTCTAGAGGTTCAAAAAAAAAGATGGCAGCAGCGGTGGTGTGTGTGTGTGTGTGTGTTTGTGTGTTTGTGTGTTTGTGTGTGTGTATGTGTGTATCCTGGGCTTTAAGTAACTGAGAAAATAGACCTGTTTTAAATCTGAGACAGTTTTATATAGTTTTGGCCACTAGATGGTGCTATTGACAATCCATTGACCCACTGACAAGTAAACTTTACCTATTTTTGTATATTTCTTTATTATTTTGAGCTTTTATAAATATGAAAACAATTTAAAATGTAAAGTATAAAAATCTGAAATAACAAAAATAGTTGCAATGAAATAAATCTATAAGTATGTAGTTGAAAGTAATTTTAGCATTGTTAATAGTTATAAAGTCAAGATCCTAAAATGCTATAAATTTACTTTTTAGTTTTTAAAAAAATATATTTGACGCGTATGTGTGTTTTGCTTGCATTCATGTGTGTGCAGCACATGTGTTCTGAGGCCTGTGAATGCCAGAATGGGACTTCAGATCCCCTGGAACCAGAGTGAAGAGATGATTGTGGGTACCGTGGGGGCTGTGACTCAAACCCAAGTCCTCTGGAAGGACGCGCATGCTCTTAGCGCTGCCCATGCCGCCTACGCCATCTCTCCAGCTTATCACTTTACAATTTTTAATTACATTAAAAAATATAATCCTAGTGTTTCATTTTGTGGTGTCTGCTTGTGTACATGACAATTTGATTTGTATATTTTCAAGAAGTCACAGAGTGTGTTGGTTCATGACTGTAATCTCAAGTACTCAGGACAGTGAGGCAGGAGGATTGCCAGAAGTTGTGGTTAGTAGTTATCTCCTCATACATGGCTGCATAGTAAGATTATATCTCACAAGTCAACAAAAAGGCCATTGTTGTACTTATGAATGATGGTTACATATTACCTAGTATTTGACTTATTACTGTAAGCTTGTAAAAAGATGTTAAAATGTCATAGATTCCAGACCTACCAAATTTATTAATATAGTAAAAACTGGGAATTTGAACACTATTTTATGCTAGGATACTGTAACAACCTAAGTCATTTTTTGGTTTGAATATCAACAGTGATTTTGTGCAGATGTGGGGCTGTGGGCCTGTTGCTCATGTTACAGGAAGGCTTCAGTCACTCGGTTGAGGCAGACACCAGCACATCCCATCTCCCCTTGCGGCTCACTTTGCATTCAATCTGTGTCTTTCTGTCTCACCTTCTCTCTTTCAGACTTTGCTTGTGCTACTCTTACTGCCCTTCCTTTGATGTTCCCCTTTATAGCTTAGGTAATGCTATGGACTTTGATGAGCTTTGCTGGCAACTCTAAAACTTACAAGCTGATAGCCTCCTGGAACAGCTCGACATTAGTTATTAAAATTATCCCCATGCTCTGCTGGTTTTGTGTTTTAGGAGTCATGTTATTTACCTCACATCTGTGAGCTGCTACACATGGCAGTTCACCAGCTCTGGTGTTGGCAACTGTAGTTAGCCGTTACATTTCTTCTCCCCACCCTCATTTCCTTTGGATTTTTCACTTCCTTTCTTTGTTTACTGTGCTCATGCTCAGAGTTGCCTACACTCACATGGAATAAATGATTCATGTTCATAATTCTTGGCTCATAAGAAATAAAATTTTTATGCAATAATCTTATTGATTATATTTCATTGGTCCTTTTTAGTGTGCGGTGTGTGGCACCTCTAAGCACACTGCTTTCAGGTTAAGTGCATATTTGAATAATTTCTGGGAGCTTAATTTATAGCTTAGATGTTTAACCAGTCCATATCTATGTAAGTTGTTGATTAAATAATTTCTTTTGTGGTCAGAACTCTTGAATTCAGAGAAGGTCATACTTGGAAGGTCTCCTCTGATTATGCCTAAAGTTGTTTTTACGTTCTACTAGAGATAGGCAGAACCTGGCAGGGATGCAAATGCATGAATTTATTGTATTGATCTCAAGGCTGAAACTCTGCATTAAGTATATAGCATTCTGCCTGTATACTGTAAATTCTCTTTTAGCTATCTGCACTCCCATCCTGCCACATCCATTCTGCATGTAACCTTTTGCCTACATGCATAGTTAAAATGAGAGAACCATAACCTTGAAGTTGATGGGTTATTTCAATCCTGCTAGCAGCAGCTTTTGTGGTTCACTAATGGAAATAGTTGCAGACTTTTGATCGGAAGGACTGCAGTTGGGCGCCGCAGTGATGGATGGGCTTGCTCCTCTCAGAATGTTCTTCAGGCAAAGGAAGTACGCTCACTGCCTGTGCAGTGTGCAGTGTGCATTGTACCATCGATTGAATGACAGAGACTCGTTAGATCATCCCTCTCTCTTCCTATTTACTTCTCTAGTCCTTATTTATCAGCCAGTATTTTCTCCTTTTTGATGATTCATTACCGCTGAGGTTTCGTTTCAAGATAACTTCATATTGTTCACTTTGTATTCCATTAACAGTGTGGGCAATGTCATTACGACATTAGCCTTGGGTGAAGTGCATTCCTTAGATCATCCTCAGTATATTAGGGGTGAGCAGGAGAGATAGCATTAGCGGGGGTGGGGGGAGAGAGAGAGAGAGAGAGAGAGAGAGAGAGAGAGAGTGTGTTTAAGAGCTTGTGCAGTATGCCTAGCCTAGCTACTGACTAGTTGTTTAACTTGGAAATTTATGAGAGATCTCTTTGGGACAGGGATTGCTTATTTTTGAAATGAAGTAGTTAGACAAGTATATCTAACTCTGTTAAATACTTGCATTTTTTGTATACTTATTATAATTATATCAAATATAGTTAAACATTCAATAATGTGTGATAATGTATACCTATAATCCCAGCACAAGAAGCTGAGAGACAGGAGGATCAAGAATTGAAGGCCAACCTATTGCTAGTCCGTACTAAACCTCTCTCAAACACTCATAAACAAACAAACAAAAACTTACTTATCTGATCTTTGAACAGTGTTATATTTGGAGAGTTGTCGAGAAATGCATAATGACATTATGTTGGTGCCATTTTAATAGTAAAATGCGCATTTGTTCTTGGAATTCTTTCACATACAAATGTACTGAAGTGTTCTCCTTCTCTTCCAGGACAATGGCTTTGTGCACATTCATACCCCAGTACTCACATCCAATGACTGTGAGGGTGCCGGAGAGCTTTTTCAAGTGGAGGTAAGCTGTATTCCCCTTTTATTGCTGCTTAATGTTTCTCTTTAAGGATTTGCTTTAAATTTAATAATGATTATGTGGACTGAAGATCATGACTAGCACCTGAAGCTGTCAGTAGTAATAATCCTCGAGCAACATTCGCTCGGCTCCTGTCTCCTACTATTCCACTGTAGCTAGAAGGGATGAATTTTTAACTTAGTGTTCTGTTTGCTTTTCTATGGAGTACATGTGTCAATAAAATCAGAAATGGAGGAATATTTAGAGTCAGGAAGGGAACCAGTGGTACAAGAGAATGGCAGGGAGAAGAAGGGTTGTAAATAAGAACAAAACATTACAATGTATACGTATCTATAAAATATCACAATATATACACATCTATAAAATGTCACAATGAAGCCCATTTCTTTGTATGCCAATCAAAAAAAAAAAAGAAAAAGTAGAGTAAAAATCAAAGTAGATAAAAAAATTTTAAAAAGAGTACAAAAGTATGCATATAAAGAAAGAATTTTCCAAAATTGTAAAGGAATAGGTTTTTTCCATAAGAAATGATTCACCTCCTAGAAAAGTTTTTTTCTCTGTTCAACTTAATTTTAGTTTTGAGCATATTTTCCCAACATGTCTGTTCATCCTGTTCTCTGCTCCCTGGTTTGTTCCCTTTGTTCCCCTACACAGTTTTGTCTCTGCTTTCACATCATATGTACATATGTGATTTTATGTCCTTATATGAAATCTAGAAACCAAGAGATCAAACATGATATCTGTCTTTCTAAGGTAGACTTAGTGTAACAGCTCTGCCTGTATTCACTTTTCTGCAGATAGCATCTTTGTTCTTTATGATTGCAAAATTCCCGTTGTGTAGGCAGGGAAAACAGCTCCTTCGGTAGAGTACTTACCAAGGATTTGGGTTGAAATCCTGCTATGTCACGAACAAGGTGTGGCAGTGAATATTTGTAATTCTAGTACTCTGGAGATGGAAATGATAGGATCAGAAGTTCAAGGTCATCTTCAGCTAAAGCAAGTTCAAAAGTAGCCAGGTTACATAAAATGTGTCTTTAAAAGACTTCCATTGCATATATATACTGTCATAAGTGATGATGAACATGTAGGTGGTTTTATTGCGTGCTATTGTGAAGAGTGTTGTAATACACATTAGTGTGCAAGTGTTTCTTTGAAGTATAACTTGTAGTAGATTCAGTTTTAGAGATGGTGGGGAACCTTTTTAAGGATTTCCATAGAGGCCTGACTAGTTCACGTTATCAACAACAGTGTGTGAACCGTCTCTTTTGTCCCATCCTTGACGGCATTTGTTGTTGCTTAATGACTGCCATTCTGACTAGGGGGAGGTGGACTCTCCATATAGGTTTATTCTGTATTAATAGGCTAGTGAAGATGAACCTTTTTTCTTTCATATGCTTATTAGCCATTTTTTCTTCCTCTTGTTTATCTCATTAGACTATTTCATAATTGGTATGGGGGTTGAGTGAGAATGGCCCCCATCGGCTCATAGCTTTGAATATTTGGTCACTAGGGAGTAGCAGTATTTGATTTAGGTTCATTTTTCTGCATGTGGCTATCCAGTGTTCCTGGGACCATATGTCAGAGAGGCTGCATTTTCTCCACTATATAATTTTGTTTGTCACCATTGTTAAAAATCAAATGGTGGTGGTTGTGCAGGTTTACATCTGAGTCCTCTATTTTATTCCATTGATCTGTGTGTCTGTTTTGTGCCAGTTCTATGCTGACTTTATTAGTTAATACTATGGCTCTAAAGCATAACTTGAAATTAAGTAAAGTGGGTGATCCCTTTAGCATCGTCTGTGTGGAGGGGTATAGAATGTTCTTATTTGTGTGGGTGTGTTCACACGAGCATGCAACTTCATGTGTCTGCATGTGGAGGCCAGAGGTCAAGATCAGATGTCTTCCCCCATTTCTTTCTACCTAACCTTTTTCAGATGGGTCTCTCACTAACCCTGCAGCTCATCAGTAGGATGAGGCTTCAGACTGGCCAGTGAGTTTCAGGAATCCACCTGTGTATCACCCCCTTCCAGGGCTGAACATGTACATGTACTGCTGTCCCTAGCTTTTACGTGGGTTCTAGATACCCAGCTCACATCCTCATACCTACACATCAGGCACGTCAGGAACTGAGCCATCGTCTCTGTCACCAACATTCTCTCTGCTCAGGGTTATTTGGCCATCTGGCGTCTTTCGTGCCTTCATATGAACCTCAAACGTGTTTTTATCTATTTCAATGAAGAATGGCTTTGGGATTTTTATGAGATTTCATTGACTCTATAGATTGGCTTTGGTAGAATGGCCATTTTTGCAATGTTACTTCTTCCAATCAGTGAATGTAGGATGTCTTTCTACTTTCTGGTGTCTTCTTAGGGTTTTTTTTTTGTCTTCTTCAGTGAGTGAGTTTTCATTGTAGTCTTTCATTTCCTAAGGTTTATTCCAAGGGCTTTTCTTGTTTTTAATTTTAAGGCAATAGTGAATATGATTGTTCCCTTGATTTATTTTTCAGGAGTTGCCATTGGTATTTAGGAAGGCTTCGGGTTTTGTATGCTGCTTTTGTAGCCGGCCACTTTGCCGCTGAGCTCCTATCACTTACTGAAAGTGCTAAGAGTCTTCTGGTGTCTTTAGGATCTTTGTGGTGGTTAAATGAGAAGTGTGCCCCACAGGCTTAGGCATTTGCACACTCGAATTCCAGTTGGTGGCACTTACTGGAGCAGTCTGGAGGAAGTGAGTCACTGGAGCGGGCTTCTAGAGTTTATGGCCCTGCCCAGCTTTCAGCCTTTCTCTGTGCTTGTGGTAAGAGCTCTAGTCTCTCACTTTCCCACTCCTGCAGCAGTGCCTGCCACATGTTGCCATGCGTTCCCACCGCAGTGGATCCCAGTCCCTCTGGAATCACGAGCTAAAACAAGCCCTCTGTAACTGCCGTTTCTTTTGTAACGGCCGTCAGGTTCTGCTACTTTGTAAAGGCCGGCCGGTTCTGCTGCT